TGCCTTGCAGCAGCCAGAACTGCTACTGAAGAAGGCAGTGCGGCAAATTGATGGGACAGAAAGGATTCCTCAACCCGCGGCTGCAGACAAATCACGAGTAAGTCAGCAGAGCACAGATGGGCAAAAAGGTGCCACACCTGAAAGTTGGCTTCGAGAATCAATTCAAGCGCACGACATGTTTATTGAGAACGATGACGCTGATGTTGATAAAAGTGTGAAGGAAAAGGATGGACAAATGTCAGGTAGGAAACTGGAAAAGTTGCACTCTAGATTGGGTGATGAGAGAAGTACGTTGGCCCAGATCACAGATGGTTCATCAAGTGAGCCCCTAAGAACACGCAACAAGGAAAGCAGGATGGGCGATGTCGAGAGGAACGATGCCGAAAGAGAGAAAACTTTGAGCTTTGAAAAAGAGGATTCTTTAGTCACGGAAAAGGAAGAACCGCTATTTGAGTCTTTGGCTAAAGAAAGTAAAACCAAGAAAAAGAAGAGGAGTAAAAAGAAGGCAAAGGTAGCAGAGGAAGACGATAAAACACAGCAACCAGAAATCAAACTTGGACCTGAAACCTGTCAGCCAGAGAAAGCATCGTCGAGTCACGGCAAGACATTGGGCGCTCTTCAAGAGGACAACACTGAATCACAGAAAGAACCAGATGCTGAACCTCATGTGGTAAAACGACACCAAAATGAGGAAACTGACCATGGGAATGTTAGAGCCCCATCATTGGATAGCACTGACAAGAAGAGGATGCAGCGGAAACATGAAGCCGAAGACCCTCAGTCGAGCCCGAAGCAACTACAACAATCAATCAGCAGTCAAGTGGTGATCGGAAATAGCAAGCAGGAGGTAACTTCAAAAGCGGGTATGTTGGCTGAACAGAAGGCCACCATGAAACTGAAAACGAGAGAGAGCGACGTCAAGAAGGTGTTTGAGGCTGGCGTCAGCGAAAGGAAGGCTGCTGAGGAAGTTGGGAAGAGGGAGACCACAGAGACAGAAGCGTATCTCAAGAGTGGTGACAAGAGCGAGGAGCAGGACAAACTAGAACCGGCAGTTGCCAAAGTGAATGCGAGTGTTTCTATATATGAGAGCTTCAAGAAGGAGCAGCTTCCAACTGCCAAGCCCGCAGAGAGTAAGCGAAGTAAGAAGTTCAAGCGTTTCAAAGCTCAACCTTCCGAATCACACGCAGATCAGAAATACCCAGAGGAACCGAAGCGTGGCTCTCTTGAAGAAAAGCCTTCAGACAAGACGAAAGTTGGTGATTCTTGCGAGGAACTCGCAAGACAACCGCATCATCATCCCGAGGCCCAGTCTGGTGCTTGCGGCACAGGAGCAGAAGTAGAGAAGAAAGAGCGTCTACCACACAACGTTACTACTACCAGAGGTCTTGAAGTGAAGTCTCCAAAAACCGCCCCCCTCCTCTCAGAAGAGGTGTCAGCTGACTCAGGATCAACAGGACCTCCCGAGTCACTTCCAGCTTTTGCCAGTCAAGGAGCAGCAGATGATGAAGAAGTGATGTTAAGTGAAGATGAAGTGGAATCCACTTCTGGCAAGGTATTTAGCAGCAAACAATACATCTCAAATTCTCCTATATATTGTTGCATAAATGTATCCATTTTTGTTCTGTTCCCAAAGTCATCACGAGTGCATCAGGAGTGCTTAGAGAGCAACCAAAGGATCATAGCGCTTGTCTCCATGGTCAGACACCTGGAAGTCAGACTCAAGCAGCAGCAGCAGCAGTCGGGTGGACGCAGTCTCGTCGCCTTGGATGACATCATCAGGCAGGAACAGGTCAGACATCAGTTCCACAATACTATCGCATCGGAAGTGTAGTAATTGGATTTGTATCGTATTGTAATTGGACAAAATCGCAGTGAAGGGTATGTTATCATTATGGGGAGTCGTAGTTGAAGAGAATTGTGTCATAATAGAGTGAATCCTGTACGACGATGATCCAGTATTGTCTTAGCTTTGCACTCTGACGGTCATTTGTTAACTTGCATTTTACTGTCAGGATCTGGAAGTGGAGCTGCGAGAGCTGGAGCCTGAGGTCACCACAGAAGTGAAGGCTGCCCAGATGCTCTTGATGCACCACCCCGGAGATGTTCCTCCACAGCTCCTTATAGCTTTGGAGAAGGACCAGAAGAGCTTGACTCAAGCGTACCAGGCGGCCAAAACACTTTCTGGGGACATGCTGCAAAACCTGCGAGACCGCAGAGATTCATACAAGGTTCAACAAAAAATTATCAGATTTATTTTTTTGTCATGTGTATGTATAAATGTTCAATTAAAAAAAAAACTGGTGGGTTGAGCGCAAACTGGGAACTGATGGAAGTTATCCTCATCTCTCAGGAGGCCATAGAAGCTGAACTGAAATCACTTGGTAGACAAATGGAGGCTCTGCTCTCCTGGGTGAGGGAGACAGAGGCACTTGCAAATGAAGAGAGTGAAACTCTGGATGAAGATGGCCGACTTTTGCATCAGTTGCGTCTTTCCCAGGTAAGGTTCATCATCACGACACTCGGTTTTACTCAGAGTGAACATGTTTTTTTTTTTTGTTTGTTTTTTTTGCGGGGGACACTTGGTGTATTACTTGGCCGTGGTGTCTCCTCTCCAAGGATCTTCAGAGCAGGCTGATGTCCCGCTCTGGCGACGTGGCCCAAGTGGCCTCAGACGTCCAAGTTTTTGTTTCGGAGCGGGCACAGGACCTGGCGCCCCAGCAGAGCAGGTGCCTTCTGGGGCAGCTGCAGCAGCTGCATAGGGCCTTCCACAGTGCGACGGGACAAGCTCGGGCCCGGGCAGCCGCTCAGCGGGAGCATGAGGAGGAATGGCGGCACCAGAAGGAAAGGAGAGCCGACGTCGAGGTCAAGCTGAAGGAGAAACAGGTTTGGAAAATCATCGAGTCGCTTTGGTTGTTTGGCTTTTTCTTATTAACACTGAAAACTGCCGCTTAAAACATTCATAAGCGTTCAACCATCCGTTTTCTATCAAGCTAGTGGTCATTAGGGTGGCGAGTATACTATCTATCTAGTAGTCTATCCCAGGTGACCTACGGCTATAATGCTTGTTGATGATGTCGTTTCTGCCACAGTTAAACCAACTTTAATGACGCGAATCCGCTCCTTAAGTTACCAATTCTCACCACCAGGGCAGCAAATAAACTACACTTCTCACAAGTATCGCAAATACTGGGAGAAAACAGGCAAGTCGTGCTAACTGCTAAGCCTACATGACATTTAGAATACCGAAACACCGGAAGAATAAGTGCGTAGGTGGTACAGTACACTTTGAAGAGAAGGCTGGCTGGAACAGTCATGAAATTAAGAACAATAACTGATTATCGAGAGAAAATGATGCAACTACAAATTAGGCACAGCACACATGACCGTAAACTGAAAAAGCTCAATTTTGGGTGTCTGCACAATGTACGTTTTCAAAATTACATTGTCATTTTTTGGGGGGATCAATTTGGCTTTGGCTTGGGGATTATGTGACTAGTTTAGAAATACCTGAAGTTTCGTTTTTGTTCCCAGTGCTCAAATGAAGGTCCCTAAAGTCATCATTGGTGGAGTTTGCTTTAGGATGAGTGTGGCTAAATTGTAATGATATTCTTTCCCGCTCTCCTCTCATATCATCGACTCACTCGCCAGCTAACGTTCAGTCTCATGTCACAAGTGTTTCTCCCCCAAGCATGATGTGCTTCACCCGTGTTATTAACATGTTTGCCTTGCTCTTGCAGATGGCCGCTGACAGGAGCCACTTGCGTTGCCGCGGTAACGGCTTCCTCACACCATTTTTGTCTTCACCCTGCGCTTATTTATGTGTGATGGGGGGAAACTTCTAAAAATAAAGATTTTTTTTTTTGGAAGGATGATAAAAAAGAACGAGTTCAAACAAGTGAGGAGGAAACTAGTGTGCAGTATGTCGCAGAAGCCAATGATGGTGAAAGAGAGAATATTTGCATTGAAACCGAGGCTCTTTGTGCCTTGCAGCAGCCAGAACTGCTACTGAAGAAGGCAGTGCGGCAAATTGATGGGACAGAAAGGATTCCTCAACCCGCGGCTGCAGACAAATCACGAGTAAGTCAGCAGAGCACAGATGGGCAAAAAGGTGCCACACCTGAAAGTTGGCTTCGAGAATCAATTCAAGCGCACGACATGTTTATTGAGAACTAAAGGTGCAAAATCTCAAGTAGCCTTTCTTCCGGAGTTGTATACTGCAAAATTTAGATTTTTACCATATAGCTAAGGTCTTAGTGCGTGTCTCTTTCCAGGAAGTGCAGAAGGACCTCCAGACCCGATCGGAGGAAGTGGCCGAGGCCATCCGCTCTGTGGAGGACTTGCTGGCCGAGCAAGGGGAAAATTTGAGTGCTGCCTTGCAGCAGCCAGAACTGCTACTGAAGAAGGCAGTGCGGCAAATTGATGGGACAGAAAGGATTCCTCAACCCGCGGCTGCAGACAAATCACGAGTAAGTCAGCAGAGCACAGATGGGCAAAAAGGTGCCACACCTGAAAGTTGGCTTCGAGAATCAATTCAAGCGCACGACATGTTTATTGAGAACGATGACGCTGATGTTGATAAAAGTGTGAAGGAAAAGGATGGACAAATGTCAGGTAGGAAACTGGAAAAGTTGCACTCTAGATTGGGTGATGAGAGAAGTACGTTGGCCCAGATCACAGATGGTTCATCAAGTGAGCCCCTAAGAACACGCAACAAGGAAAGCAGGATGGGCGATGTCGAGAGGAACGATGCCGAAAGAGAGAAAACTTTGAGCTTTGAAAAAGAGGATTCTTTAGTCACGGAAAAGGAAGAACCGCTATTTGAGTCTTTGGCTAAAGAAAGTAAAACCAAGAAAAAGAAGAGGAGTAAAAAGAAGGCAAAGGTAGCAGAGGAAGACGATAAAACACAGCAACCAGAAATCAAACTTGGACCTGAAACCTGTCAGCCAGAGAAAGCATCGTCGAGTCACGGCAAGACATTGGGCGCTCTTCAAGAGGACAACACTGAATCACAGAAAGAACCAGATGCTGAACCTCATGTGGTAAAACGACACCAAAATGAGGAAACTGACCATGGGAATGTTAGAGCCCCATCATTGGATAGCACTGACAAGAAGAGGATGCAGCGGAAACATGAAGCCGAAGACCCTCAGTCGAGCCCGAAGCAACTACAACAATCAATCAGCAGTCAAGTGGTGATCGGAAATAGCAAGCAGGAGGTAACTTCAAAAGCGGGTATGTTGGCTGAACAGAAGGCCACCATGAAACTGAAAACGAGAGAGAGCGACGTCAAGAAGGTGTTTGAGGCTGGCGTCAGCGAAAGGAAGGCTGCTGAGGAAGTTGGGAAGAGGGAGACCACAGAGACAGAAGCGTATCTCAAGAGTGGTGACAAGAGCGAGGAGCAGGACAAACTAGAACCGGCAGTTGCCAAAGTGAATGCGAGTGTTTCTATATATGAGAGCTTCAAGAAGGAGCAGCTTCCAACTGCCAAGCCCGCAGAGAGTAAGCGAAGTAAGAAGTTCAAGCGTTTCAAAGCTCAACCTTCCGAATCACACGCAGATCAGAAATACCCAGAGGAACCGAAGCGTGGCTCTCTTGAAGAAAAGCCTTCAGACAAGACGAAAGTTGGTGATTCTTGCGAGGAACTCGCAAGACAACCGCATCATCATCCCGAGGCCCAGTCTGGTGCTTGCGGCACAGGAGCAGAAGTAGAGAAGAAAGAGCGTCTACCACACAACGTTACTACTACCAGAGGTCTTGAAGTGAAGTCTCCAAAAACCGCCCCCCTCCTCTCAGAAGAGGTGTCAGCTGACTCAGGATCAACAGGACCTCCCGAGTCACTTCCAGCTTTTGCCAGTCAAGGAGCAGCAGATGATGAAGAAGTGATGTTAAGTGAAGATGAAGTGGAATCCACTTCTGGCAAGGTATTTAGCAGCAAACAATACATCTCAAATTCTCCTATATATTGTTGCATAAATGTATCCATTTTTGTTCTGTTCCCAAAGTCATCACGAGTGCATCAGGAGTGCTTAGAGAGCAACCAAAGGATCATAGCGCTTGTCTCCATGGTCAGACACCTGGAAGTCAGACTCAAGCAGCAGCAGCAGCAGTCGGGTGGACGCAGTCTCGTCGCCTTGGATGACATCATCAGGCAGGAACAGGTCAGACATCAGTTCCACAATACTATCGCATCGGAAGTGTAGTAATTGGATTTGTATCGTATTGTAATTGGACAAAATCGCAGTGAAGGGTATGTTATCATTATGGGGAGTCGTAGTTGAAGAGAATTGTGTCATAATAGAGTGAATCCTGTACGACGATGATCCAGTATTGTCTTAGCTTTGCACTCTGACGGTCATTTGTTAACTTGCATTTTACTGTCAGGATCTGGAAGTGGAGCTGCGAGAGCTGGAGCCTGAGGTCACCACAGAAGTGAAGGCTGCCCAGATGCTCTTGATGCACCACCCCGGAGATGTTCCTCCACAGCTCCTTATAGCTTTGGAGAAGGACCAGAAGAGCTTGACTCAAGCGTACCAGGCGGCCAAAACACTTTCTGGGGACATGCTGCAAAACCTGCGAGACCGCAGAGATTCATACAAGGTTCAACAAAAAATTATCAGATTTATTTTTTTGTCATGTGTATGTATAAATGTTCAATTAAAAAAAAAACTGGTGGGTTGAGCGCAAACTGGGAACTGATGGAAGTTATCCTCATCTCTCAGGAGGCCATAGAAGCTGAACTGAAATCACTTGGTAGACAAATGGAGGCTCTGCTCTCCTGGGTGAGGGAGACAGAGGCACTTGCAAATGAAGAGAGTGAAACTCTGGATGAAGATGGCCGACTTTTGCATCAGTTGCGTCTTTCCCAGGTAAGGTTCATCAGCACGACACTCTGGTTTTACTCAAGATGTTTTTTTTTTTTTTTGCGGGGGACACTTGGTATATTACTTGGCCGTGGTGTCTCCTCTCCAAGGATCTTCAGAGCAGGCTGATGTCCCGCTCTGGCGACGTGGCCCAAGTGGCCTCAGACGTCCAAGTTTTTGTTTCGGAGCGGGCACAGGACCTGGCGCCCCAGCAGAGCAGGTGCCTTCTGGGGCAGCTGCAGCAGCTGCATAGGGCCTTCCACAGTGCGACGGGACAAGCTCGGGCCCGGGCAGCCGCTCAGCGGGAGCATGAGGAGGAATGGCGGCACCAGAAGGAAAGGAGAGCCGACGTCGAGGTCAAGCTGAAGGAGAAACAGGTTTGGAAAATCATCGAGTCGCTTTGGTTGTTTGGCTTTTTCTTATTAACACTGAAAACTGCCGCTTACAACATTCATAAGCGTTCAACCATCCGTTTTCTATCAAGCTAGTGGTCATTAGGGTGACGAGTATACTATCTATCTAGTAGTCTATCCCAGGTGACCTACGGCTATAATGCTTGTTGATGATGTCGTTTCTGCCACAGTTAAACCAACTTTAATGACGCGAATCCGCTCCTTAAGTTACCAATTCTCACCACCAGGGCACAAATAAACTACACTTCTCACAAGTATCGCAAATACTGGGAGAAAACAGGCAAGTCGTGCTAACTGCTAAGCCTACATGACATTTAGAATACCGAAACACCGGAAGAATAAGTGCGTAGGTGGTACAGTACACTTTGAAGAGAAGGCTGGCTGGAACAGTCATGAAATTAAGAACAATAACTGATTATCGAGAGAAAATGATGCAACTACAAATTAGGCACAGCACACATGACCGTAAACTGAAAAAGCTCAATTTTGGGTGTCTGCACAATGTACGTTTTCAAAATTACATTGTCATTTTTTGGGGGGATCAATTTGGCTTTGGCTTGGGGATTATGTGACTAGTTTAGAAATACCTGAAGTTTCGTTTTTGTTCCCAGTGCTCAAATGAAGGTCCCTAAAGTCATCATTGGTGGAGTTTGCTTTAGGATGAGTGTGGCTAAATTGTAATGATATTCTTTCCCGCTCTCCTCTCATATCATCGACTCACTCGCCAGCTAACGTTCAGTCTCATGTCACAAGTGTTTCTCCCCCAAGCATGATGTGCTTCACCCGTGTTATTAACATGTTTGCCTTGCTCTTGCAGATGGCCGCTGACAGGAGCCACTTGCGTTGCCGCGGTAACGGCTTCCTCACACCATTTTTGTCTTCACCCTGCGCTTATTTATGTGTGATGGGGGGAAACTTCTAAAAATAAAGATTTTTTTTTTTGCTGTTTTTCTTTTTTGATTTGTTATTTTGATGTCATTGTGAGTGTGTATCTGGACACAATATGCTTATAATTTGACACATCACTGGAGCTAATATTCCTTATCAACGAAATGTAAGGACATTTTTGAAACATTTGTATGCGTGGTTCCTCATCTCCTCAGGTGGTCCTGCAACAGAAAGCGGAATGTTCTCACAAACTGGAAGATCTCAGGGCCTGGTTGGCAGGAGCCGCCGCCACTCTGGCAAATCAGAGAGTGGAATCGACAACGGAATCAGATGACGTGAGCGTCCTGCAGGACAGGCAAAAAAAGCTAAAGGTGCAAAATCTCAAGTAGCCTTTCTTCCGGAGTTGTATACTGCAAAATTTAGATTTTTACCATATAGCTAAGGTCTTAGTGCGTGTCTCTTTCCAGGAAGTGCAGAAGGACCTCCAGACCCGATCGGAAGAAGTGGCCGAGGCCATCCGCTCTGTGGAGGACTTGCTGGCCGAGCAAGGGGAAAATTTGAGTGCGGAGGAGCGAGAGGGCCTGCAGGTGGAACTGATGCGGATGAAGGAGCAGTACTCCGCACTGATGGAGGCGGCCAACGCGTCCGTGACTGAGGTGGAAACTACTATCGACGCAACACTGCAGCACAACACACAGAGGGTGAGATGACATACAAATTTGCAATTTTATCACACTTTGCACATATTTAAAACTTATTTAAAAATCACTCAAAACTTATTGAAACATATTTAAAAGTATTCCTTAATGATCAGTCTTTCGCTGACAAAAGTGGGAGACGATCATATAACATCACGTTGAAGAAATGAAGAGACTCGCTTGTACAATTCACCAAATGAGAGCCAAGTGTGTTGTATAAAAAAAAGAAAATTGAGAATTAGTAAATTAATTGTTGTATGTTTAAACACTGAAATGTTCAACCAAACCATCTAATTTTGTCCAACAAAAGTCCCACAACTTAATGCTAACATAAAAAGGAAACCTGGAAAATGAAAGCTTTGGACTGGGAAAAGTAGCACCATCTGGTCAACAAATTAAAAACAAATTGAACGCAAGTACTTTCAAGGATCATAGTTGACAATTCTAAATATTTTTGATGAATGAATATGTTCTGTATTCATTTTTAATCCCCGATTGTCTTGTTAGGCTAAAGCCTTTGAGGAGCTCCAGCAGACCCAGAACCAGATGGACTCCCTGCTGAAGGACTTAACCGCCGCTCACCCATCAGCAGCTCAAGACGTTCCCGACCTGCCTTCCTCGCACCCTGATTCCGCCGTCACATCCCACACGGGGGCGCTGCAGGTCCAGCCATTCTCCATTGCAGTATCTGTTAACATCTTCGCCTCCCAAAAAAAAAAAAAAAAAAGATATTGGGTTTTTGGGTTAATATACCAAATATGTCCACTTATGTGGTATTCTGTGACTCTTCCAGTTTCAGTTATGCAACCTGTTGATGACACGCTAAGCTCAGTGGTGACTTCTGTTTCAGAACATCCTGTTCAGTTTCCACCATTGCCAATAGCAATTGAATTGAATTGCTCATGGCAACAATTGAATGAATTTTCACTCCCTCAGCACAATATGGCTAACAGATTTTGTGAATAACATATCGCTCCATCTTGGCGATTAATGTTGGCTCTTGTGTGATGCAGGCCGAACTTCAGCGACTGCAGGCACAGCAGACCCAGCTTCTCCACATCAGCCAATCAGTTCGCGCGCTGCTGGACCAGCCCGACTTC